GTTCACAAGAGCCGTTAAAAGTCTCGTGGTATTTCATGAGCTGCACATGGTGTGAGTTGGTGACATTTTCTCTAAAGACTTGTCAGTGTGAAAGCAACAACTGATCTTTTCTCCTTGTTTTAGGTTAATTGACGGATATTACAACAAAGTCAATGATCCAGCATCTAAAGGGGGAACCTTCTTTTGCAGTGTGTCGAGGGAAGGTGAGGTGACCGTGTGTCCATGTAGTCTAGAGAAACTGTTTGTGCTTTTTTACGTTGACAGCTCAGTCTGATGAAACAGAGGAATGGAGCATATCGCTGTGACATGCGTTGTGGATAAATAGGGTCCAGTGTCACCATCAGGCTGAACATTTTATTTTTTGGCGTCATCACTGGAAAGTCTTGGGAACAGCCGAATTTCACAGTGTTATTTTTCATCAGTTTCCCATTATTGGGTGTTCATGATCATGTTCATGATGAGGAATGCTAATGCGTAAAACTGTTTTTGGTTTCATCAAAAAGTATTAAAAGAAACACAGCTGCAGCCGCAAACAGTAATCTGTTAGCTAGTCTCTGAGTTAAACAAAAAATGTGTAAATTTAACCCTTTAGTCAGAATTCAATATCATCAAATAAATGGTAAATTAGGTCACTGTCTTATCTAATTTTTCCACTGCCAGATGTCTCAAATGTTACCGTAAGAAAATGTTGAACGTTACACAAACTCGTCCGTCTCGCAGCTTTTCTATAAATGTGTTGTGTCAGGCCAGCGAGGGTCTGGATTTTGCAGACACGTTTGTCGGTGTTCATCATCACGGCCTTCCCTTCCCTCCAAGACTGGATTCTGCACCAAAACAAAGAACAGAGAAACTCAGATAACAACACACACTTGGGGGGGGTGTGACTTTGTTCTCTGCTCAGGACGCCATTACTCCACTATATATTTGTTTGCTGCTGTTGTTTAAAATCTCATTCACAGAGCCGTTAAAAGTCTCGTGGTATTTCATGAGCTGCACATGGTGTGAGTTGGTGACATTTTCTCTAAAGACTTGTCAGTGTGAAAGCAACAACTGATCTTTTCTCCTTGTTTTAGGTTATTGACGGATATTACAACAAAGTCAATGATCCAGCATCTAAAGGGGGAACCTTCTTTGCAGTGTGTCGAGGGAAGGTGAGGTGACCGTGTGTCCATGTAGTCTAGAGAAACTGTTTGTGCTTTGTTTACGTTGACAGCTCAGTCTGATGAAACAGAGGAATGGAGCATATCGCTGTGACATGCGTTGTGGATAAATAGAGTCCAGTGTCACCATCAGGCTGAACATTTATTTTTTGGCGTCATCACTGGAAAGTCTTGGAACAGCCGAATTTCACAGTGTTATTTTTCATCAGTTTCCCATTATTGGGTGTCATGATCATGTCATGATGAGGAATGCTAATGCGTAAAACTGTTTTTGGTTTCATCAAAAAGTATTAAAAGAAACACAGCTGCAGCCGCAAACAGTAATCTGTTAGCTAGTCTCTGAGTTAAACAAAAAATGTGTAAATTTAACCCTTTAGTCAGAATTCAATATCATCAAATAAATGGTAAATTAGGTCACTGTCTTATCTAATTTTTCCACTGCCAGATGTCTCAAATGTTACCGTAAGAAAATGTTGAACGTTACACAAACTCGTCCGTCTCGCAGCTTTTCTATAAATGTGTTTCTGTGTCAGGCCAGCGAGGGTCTGGATTTTGCAGACACGTTTGGTCGGGGTGTCATCATCACCGGCCTTCCCTTCCCTCCAAGGATGGACCCTCGAGTCATCCTGAAGATGCAGTTCTTGGATGAGATGAGCCGGAGGAAAGCTCCAGGGGTGAAGGTGAGGAGACCTGCTCACTGAGTTTTACTGAAAAGGCATGATGATGTTTTAGTGGTTCAGTCTTTTCATGTGTGTGTGTGTGTGTGTGTGTGTGTGTGTGTGGACAGTACCTGTCTGGGCAGGAGTGGTACAGACAGCAGGCGTTCAGAGCTGTGAACCAGGCCATCGGTAGAGTCATTCGCCATAAGGAGGACTACGGAGCCATCTTCCTGTGTGATCAAAGGTCAGACATGGAGCTGTTACTGATTCTGAGCCGCTTGTAGAAATATATTTGTCCTTAAGTAGAACATACAGGTGATTTTAAGAGAAGTAGAGCTGAACAGTCTTTTTGGACTGTTGGTCAGACAGTTCTGTTCCTTACATTATCTAATCTAATTTAGAATAGAGTTAGAGCTTTTGTACAAATCCTGTACAGATGGTTTGTCGTTCTCAGAATAGAATAAAAAACATATATTTAATTTAATAACTTAATCTGAATGAGTTTAAATAGCTTGTGTTACAGAAACCAGCTAAAATAAACAGCTTTATTGGGAATTCAGCTGTATTCAGATACTGTTTATGTGAGCATGTGTAAAATTTGTTAAGTGCCCCGTTAATAATTAAACTCTTAGCCTCCCTAACATCATTCAGAAAGAATGGATCTGTTTAACAATGACGAAGGCGACTGAAATAAAATGACGTGTTTCCCGGCAGGTTTAAGAACGCTAATGCCCAGGCTCAGCTTCCATCGTGGGTCAGGCCGTATGTTCGGCGGTATGATGGCTTCGGGAACGTGGTCCGTGACGTCTCTCAGTTCTTCAGGGTGGCACAGAAGATGGTGGGTCCTCTCACACACACTTCATAAAGATATATATATATATATCACAGCACTGGGGAAAGTATTAACTGAATTAACTGACATAACTTTGACAGTTCCCAGCCCTAGAGGAACTGCATGATGTTTACGGTGCATTTATTGTTTGGCTTTGTTGCAGGTGTTAATGTAAAATAAACGGTTTGTGCAAGAAGCCTCCATGGTTTGTACATATTGATCTATTGTTATAATAAACGTGAGCACAAAGCCTCAGTACATCTGAGCTGATGGCGTGTTGGCGCTGGTTAATTTGTCGGCTAGTACTGACTGTTTGTGGTTGTTTGACTGAACCAGAGGCCTGTGGTAGAGAAGAAGACTGCTGCAGAGAGCAGTGGGGCGACGACTTTACCAGACTCTCAGTCCTCAAGCTTCACTTCCTGCTCAACCTCCCAAAGATCCTCCACCCAGAAGGCCAAGGTGTTGGACGCCCACCTTCCCAGCCTGAAGAGGAGGAGGCTCAGTGAGTATGAATACAAAGGGAGGGTTTTCCACGACTCCTTAAAATCCTGATGTTTTTTTTTTTTTACCTGTTGTCTGGTCTGTGTTGTCAGATGAGCACACTGGAGCCGGCGGGATGGCCAGGATCTGTATCGAGTATGAGTGCGAGGTGCAGGAGAGTCAGAGGAGGCCGGCCAACCTGTTGGATGCTCTGGAACGAGACGACCATCACGGAGGAGAGGACGGTGATGCTGTTGTGGGAGAGGAGAAGGTAGTGTGTTTTCTGTGAGACGCCTGGGTGTGTCCTACAAGTCCAGAGCAGGTCTCTGTTTGACAAGACATTTACTGTCACATGTGCTGTGGTAGTTTGGTCAGTACATCTGATGTATGTCACATCGTGAAACAACACTGGTAAAGTCAAATTATTAGTGATTTTATTCCCAAGAGGACTTAATTTTTATTTGTTCAATTGTCTATTTTCTTTTGAAGGCAAACCGTTTGTCCACGCTGTCTCTTCAGTATGACAAGAGGATGGATAATGAACTGCGAGGAGGAAAGCGTAAAATCAAGTTGGTCCAAGAGCAGGTACGTGTCACTCTGAACAACACCAGGTTTGTTTGGTTAGATTCTCTTTATTTTAGATGCTGTACATCACCAGAAGCTGCAGCTGCTGCAGTCACTGTGAGCCCCAAGTCCAACACACAGCCATATGTTAATTTGACGTGACAGATGTTTGAGTTGATTTGTAAATATAATAATTTGACATCATAAATTGTAAGTTGGTTTCAGTGTATTTAGTTTTACAGATGATTGTATTCAGGATGTTTCAGTGGCTGTTAGTTTAAAAGACGAGACTATAACTACTGTTACCGTTCAGATGCATGTTAGCTGTTGAAATCATGATGGTGCTGATCAAGTCACTTTCACCAAATATTCTGTGGTTAATTCATATTCATGGCTGCTGTATATGTTTTGATTGATTTCTGTATCTGCGTATTTTTCTCCCTCGTGGCTGAAGAAAACCAGCGTGTCAGACGATGTGTCTGAGGAGGGTAAAGCCAGCAGGGCGAAGACGTTCCTGGCAGAGATGAAGAAGTCACTGAGCCAGGTCAACTTTCAGAGCATCATCCAGGCTCTGCAGACCTACAAGAGGACTGACGACCTGGACCTCCTGCTGACTGAGACAGCTGTCTTAGTTGAGGACACTAACAATCACAGTCTGCTCCGCGGTGAGTCCTCCGCTCTAAAGAAACCCACACATTTACTCTGTGATTTAAAAACACCTTGTTTCTGTCGGCTCAGTCAGCACAACCACAAACACTGTCAGTGTGAAGTGAATTCAAGTCTGAAAACCATTTTGTTTCTCACAAATAATGAAGATATAAAATTGAGCCAAATAAGTGATATGTAAAGTATTCTTGTTTTTGCCTGAGACGACACAGTGTGCGTGTTTTGTTTTTTCATGTTGAGTTTCTCGCTGTGTTGAAGGCTTCTACCAGTTTGTTCGTCCACATCACAAGAAGAGGTTTGACGAGAGATGCCAGGAGCTGACCGGGCAGGGCTGTGGATACAAACCTGATCACTCTCTGTCAAAGGACGAGAAGAAAACGCTGATGCTGCAGACTGGTATGACACACTCATCCTAACCCAACACTGCACTCTTCTTTGATTATTGGACATGTGACTGACGGGACCGGGGAGAATGTGGAAGGTCTTTTTTTTAATTATGCGATTATTTTTTCAATGGAAAGACAGAATCTGTAACTGTTGAGTTTTGTTTTCTTAAAGCTACAGAAGGACGGCCCGCTACGGGTCTGACCTCCTCCAGTCGGACGTCTACCTGCAGTCAGCTGAATACACAGCAGCTCAACAAAGGAGGACACCATCTAAACCAGCAGGGACTGAGAAAACCTCAGACTGGTAGGACATAACTTCATTTTACCTTTACTGCATACGCTGAAATGATTCTTATAGTTTAGATTCAGCTCTTACCTCTTCCACAAAAGTCTTTCCTCTTACAAAGTTAGTAACAGTTTATAAGAGCACGAGTAGAAACACAAGCCTGTACAAGGTGGACTGGTGAGGAGATTAGTTTCTGTGTTCGGCGTGATGTCGTTTAACGTCCCCGACAACCTCTGTAGTCTCACTCAGCCATTTGTTAGCAAGCTTAAAGAAGTCACGACTGGGACATTGACTGTGATTATGACTACAGATACAGACTGCCGTCTGGATGAAGGGGTCATTCAGTATGAAGTAAACTCCAGTACTCTCTTCCCGTGTGAATCAGGTTCTGCTCCAAAAACCGAGGTCCACGCCGCTTTCCTGTGTGACGTGAAAAAAGCTCTTGGAGCAGAAAAGTCAGCTCAGCTCTTTCAGACCGTTCACAGCTACAAGAAGACAGACAACTATGAAAACCTGGTGACCACAGTGGTGAGCTTGTTTACTGAGAGAGATGAGGACTTCAACCTTCTAGTCAGTAAGTTCTTTCAAATCACTGCACAAATGTTCATTCTTGTACTTTTTTGTTTCTGTGGTTTTCTCACTGTTCACTCCGTCTTTTTCTTTTCTTCAGGATTTGGCATGTTTATTCGCCCTCAGCATAAGAAGCAGTACAAAGAGATGTTGGATTCACTGATAGGTCAGTCGGTGTCTTCTGCTGCTGATGATGATGATGCTGCTGCTGCTGCTGCTGATGATGATGATGCTGCTGATGATGATGATGCTGCTGATGTTGATGTTGCTCCTGTAAGTGAAGACCAGCAAAGCAAAGGTGAAGGACAACCCAGTGGATCATAATATAACAGAGCCACGTGTTTTTTAATTTCTTATGTCTGACTTATATTTTTTCCCTGTAGTATTGAAGAAGATTTTAGAGGACAAAATCATTAGAAATCATGGAGACCATTAATCTGTAACGTACGCTCTGGCAGTGTAGCTAGGAGATGTAAGTGGTTGATAGTTATTGGTGGTTGCATTGCACTGCAAAGCTGTTTGAGCCGCTCAGTCTGAAGTGACCACTAATCAAATTTTAGAAATACAAATACTATAACTACTGTTACCGGACATTTTCAGCATGTGGAAAAAAAAACAAACATTGCAGATATTTCTGTTTTCAGAAACAACACAACAGTGTAACAGTCTATCATATGAAGCCTTACAACTTCCTTTTATATGTTTTTTTTTTTTTTTCAGATTCATTGTCACCTCCTCTGAGGACACAAAGCAAGATTTCCAGTTTTTTCTCAAGCAGCCAAAGAAAGTAGAGCCTGAGAAGACGGATCAAGCCACTTCGAACAGCTCATGACTGTTACTGCTGATAAAGCCATGAAGAGGCGGGAGTCTGCCTGTGTAGGTGTCTGAACCTAGAAGATGGATTTGTTGTGGTTGCAGACTGGATTGATGAAGCAGAATTACTGTTGGACTCAAAGCTAATGAAACTGACATCTGTCACTACTGACAATAATTAACACTACAACAGTATCCACAACATGTCCTGTGTTTTTCTCCTTTGACTCAGTGAAGCAGAGTAGATCACAGATTTAACCTGATGTGCTTCAGGACAAGGGCTGTCAGGGATTCATAATGTTACTGTAAGTAAAGCACGGTGCCTGGTCTGTCTCACATCGATGTCATGACAAGTTAAATGTAATATTGAGAAATAAAACATTTTTATTCATTTTTTAAAAATATTTTGTATTTAATTAAATTCCTGAACCCTACTCTACTGGCTCAAGTTTCTTCTGTAAGATCCAGCAGCTGCTATGCCTCCATAATGTGTCTAAGGTCATACTCTATCTTCTTCACCTTTTCACCTGACAAACTGCTGTTTGTACATCTCACCTTCAGACAAGGTGACACTATATTTTTCATGCGTTTAGGTTCGATCACTAAAATTCCTGTTTCACCCACTCAGGAATGGATTAACCCACAAGGCCCGGTCTCAAAAGCAATATATGTGGATGTATTGAATTTACTTAACATTTACTTATGTTTATTTATGTATGCATGCTTATATTGTAGACATATATTACAAAAGTATATATCCATCCCAAGGCCTGCCATGTAAGTATATGTTAATATTGTATACAGCAAGGTCTAAAAGTCTGAGACCACTTTCCCAGAATGGGAAGATAGACATATTTGAAATTAATGAGAAAAACATATATAAGGGCACAGAATGTTTGTATGTATGTTCTTTTAATAAACTTGTATATATAAATTAATATCGTGAACATATATGGTCATATATGGTATATATGGTTATGGTATGTTGAACCACATAAAAAGTCATAGATATTAACATGTACATTTCATTATGGTTATTTCATATATGTAATAAACGTATATCTTCATACATCCAGAGGATTTATGTATGTAATAATATATCCTCTTATAAATGTGGGCTATTCCAAAATCGTCCATACAAACCCAATGCATCATTTCACCCTGTTACTGGTAAGATGTGACAGCTAGAAATGAACATCACGCGGTTGCCATTTGGGTCTCGCGATAGTTCCTTCAGCACAGGACTTCCAACATGGCAGGCAGTAAGTTGGTGCTAGAAGGACGAGTAAGTGTAAAAGGCTTTATTTTAGGGCTCAGCGTGGTTGTAATCCCATTGATCAGAACCTGGTTTGGACACCTTGACTGGGTATTCGATTATCTAACGGAAACATCCGGGAAAATAGCGATTTGCATCCACATTGCTGTTGTCAACGGCCTCTTGCTAATCATATACAGGGGACCTCTGTACAAGGTAAGCACTGGCGTTAGGTAGCCAACTTCCTGTGTTCATTCTGACTTTATCTCGTTTTGAGTAAAGCTCACATGTGTTTTAATGCTGTCCAGCAGTGAAGTATTTAACCTATTCCTCTGACATAACTTACTTAATTTAATTTGAATGTTGCACTGTTCAGTTGGCTAGGTTAACTAAATCATATAGCAAGCTAACATTAGCTACCTATGTAGTTAATCTGATTAGCTAAAGAGGAACGAGACAGCTGGAGCTGATGAGATAAAGATAGAAGCCTAAGCCAGACAAAGCTGCGAAGCCTTACTCACTACTAACCTCTTGCTACGTTTCATTTCATTTGAAAAGAAGAAAACAGCCCTAACATGTTGTTTATGTGCCGCGGAAACAAAGTGACACAGAACTCAGTTCAGAAATCTTCCAGTATACTGTTCTGTTGGTTTGGGTCGAGTTTAATTTGCTTCTGTAAGATGACCTTATGTGTTTCATGAATAACCAGGCTCCTGGTCCTAATTCGGCGTGATCCATTCAACAGTAATTGGTGTATATTATATATGTACCTATCATGCGTAATAGGATGCCAGATGCTGGGAGTCCGCAGTGTTGCCCACTGAAACCTGCTGATAATCTGCCCAACTGCTTGTGTAACATTGTTGTTGTTGTTGACCTGAGGCTTTGACTTATTCCAGGTTGCTGTGAGAGCCTGCTTTCTGGGAGTTACTTTTGGCTGTGGCTTAATTATAAGCTTCTCTGAAACCACCTGGACACATTTTGGCTGGTATGTACATATGTTGAAATGTCACTGGTCACTCAGGTCAGTCACAAAGCTGCTGTGCACAACTTCATAGTTCATTGAGTACCCACCCCACAGTGTCCCCCAGACAGATTTTCTATTGTCTTACACTATTGAATCACAATGAATTAAATTTGACTGAAAACCGCAATTGTTATAATTCCCGGATTAATAACATGGTGAACCAGGACATGTAGCATGTCTAGACAGCAGGATGTTTATTTTGTAATGCATGCATGTAGTAGTTGAACATGTGTAGTAATGGTGCCTCTCTGCAGGTACATGTGCTCGCTGTCATTCTTCCATTACTCTGAGTACCTGGTGACGGCCATCATCAACCCTCGCAGCCTGTCTCTGGACTCCTTCCTGCTCAACCACAGTGTGGAGTACACCCTGGCTGCTATCTCATCCTGGGTGGAGTTCACTGTGGAGAAGATGACAGTTCCAGGTTGGTCCGTCATCAGTCTCATTGTCCCTGCACTCGGTCCACTCAGAACTATCATGTATTTTGTTTATTGCACACAAAAGATGTGTCTGTCAGTATATCAGTAAATCGGTGTAACCTCTGCTGAAGTAATGTTTAGCTCATGGCTTGTACAGATTGGACATACAGATGAGTTAATAGTTTAAAGGTTAAGTCACATGGTGAGTCTTTGTGAAGTTCCTGAACATGCCCCAGTGGCTAACAAAGCCAGTAGGTTCTTGAAAACCTGCTGTTCCCCACGTTGAGCAGATCCTGTCATCTTGCACATTGTGTCCTCCAGTGTTTTATCAGTGTTTCCTCTCTATCAGAACTGAAGCAGCTGAGCTGGTTAAGCTTTGTGGGTCTGCTCATGGTGCTGTGTGGTGAGGGCCTGCGTAAGGCGGCCATGTTGACTGCGGGCTCCAACTTCAACCATATCGTCCAGAATGAGAAGGCCCAGAGCCACGTGCTGGTCACAGGTGGGGTCTACTCCTACTTCAGACACCCCTCCTACGTGGGCTGGTTCTACTGGAGCATAGGAACACAGGTGAGCGACAGCAGCACTGCTCAGCCTCACGCTCGCTTCATCCTCTGTCATCATAATGATATTAATCAATCCTTCAAATACAACCTCATCATTCAGTACAAGCTTTACTGCTTTATTTTCTTTTTTTCAGTCAAATTTGAGTTTAGTTCACTTTGTAAAGTTTACTGTCATTTTTTCCATAATCTGCTGTCACTGTTCCAGCTGTTGGTGCTTGGGCCTCAATAACTGACAGATGAAATGATAAAATGACTGATCCTGTGGCTGTGAGAGATGTTTCCAACATGTTCTGTTTTGCTGCTCGTTGCAGGTCATGCTGTGTAACCCGGTGTGTATACTGGGCTACACGATAGCCAGCTGGCGGTTCTTCCGAGAGCGGATTGAGGAGGAGGAGCTCTCTCTCATCCATTTCTTTGCTGAGGACTATGTGGAGTACAAGAAGAAGGTTCCCACCGGGCTGCCCTTCATCTCAGGCATCCGTGTCAACTAGTCTCGGAGCTGGATGCTGGACATAACAGACTTACAGTACTAAAGCAGGTCAGACCTGGTGGGTGTGTGGCGTCAGCCATGACGGCTGCCCTCCAGAGGGAAACCCTGCAGCTGGCTGAGAGCCTGTAGCTCACAGACAGAGACTGTGACAGCTGGGATGGCGACGGGCAGCTGGGCTGCTGTTTTTCTACCAACCTCCAAAATCCAGTTAAAGACCAGACAACCTCCACTCTGCTACATGTATTCCAGTAACACCCACCCCATCTGTTTCTGTTTTGTTTCTGTTTGCATGCTTTGACCATGCCGAGTTTCAGTGATGACCTGCTGTGTTGGCGAGTGATGTGAGCACTGGGCCCGTTGGTATCACGTAGTCCATCAGTGAGATGACTTTGCTCAAGGTTAAATGGCAAATGTTTGGAGATGTTTGACTTTCACAGGAAATGTGATGCACTGTCTCTAATTTAGTCTAAATTCACTGTCCCTAAATTTAACCATTTTTAAACCAAACAAATACTTAAAGGAATACTCCACAGCCCCACTGTGTAGAGCTCCTCACTGGTCTTAGTCTCAGTATCCTGATATCCAAGACTTCTCCCTGGATATGACGTGAGTCAGGTCAAAATGGTGTTCAGCCTGATCAGGTGTGGTAGGGTGCCGTTGCATTGCTGCAGATTTGTGTGTCTCAACATCATGAAGCTTAAGGAAACTGAACTAAGTAGGATAAACATTGTGTTTTGCTTTTTCAAACAAGTGTTTTCCTTCTGGTCTCTTTCTGTATTTGCTTGTTAATGCAGACCTCTACGCTCGCTTGAAAGGCGTATATACAGAAAGTTTGCTTCTTTACAGGTGGTAGCTGTAGTCTAAATCAAATCAAAATATCCACAGACACTTCTCAAACCGCTTCTACACCATGACCTCCCCTCTGCACTGCTGATTATATTTGTTCCACACTACATTCATATTCAAGCAAAACTGGTTGACTGAACCCATATTGAATCTGAATCAGGACCTTGTGAACTGGAATTCAGTTGATTCTGGAAATCAGTGGCGACAAACAGCCCTATATTTACAGCGATTAAAGCAACAGCCGAACATACTAACCCAAATATATTCAGTGGGGTATTCCTTTAAGTGTCCACAATAATTCGTACTTTTTCAAGGTGGAAAAGCTTCTCTACCAGAACAGACCGTGGACCGCTAAAACCAAGGGTTTTGGTTCTTCTAGAGTTAGTAGCTCTTTAACACAGGGTGACCAAGTGGCTTCAAACACCAGTAGAGGGAACAATAGGTAACATTACATTTTTTATTTGAGAATTTATCCTCAAAGTCATTGAACTATATAATAGAATGATAAAAATGTTTCTATCAGGTTTTTGATACTGTTTTAAATGTGTTTAGTGATGAAGCTCCATCTGTTACAGGTGTCTTGAGTAGAAGGCCAGCAGTGTCCTGGTTTATGTCCAACCCTGATATCCACCCCTTAATGTGCACTCAGGCTAAAACACTTCAGTCACAGCATCAGTGTGAATGAAACATTGTCAAGTGGTTTTTGAAAGATGTTTATGAAGTGGCCGTTCCTCGTCATGACACTGACATGTTTCTGAACACAGGG